TCCTTTGTTAAAAATTATTATGCCATTAAAAAAAAAATATTTGGATCTTTTTGTGCATGCGTTGAAATCGGAAAATCTGGCTAGTCCCAAAGCAATTTTCAATATTTTCGTCTATATATTTGGGGAAAAAGGTGGTTCAAAAAATTAATTTGAAGGTAAAATTTTGCTTATATTTGAGGTACTAAATTAAAAATCACGAAAAAATCAATGACAGAATGAACTGATGTATGTTCTACCATTTGGAGAAAAATATATCGCAGGAAATCCAACTTTATACTCAAGACAGCGAGGGAAAATACAGTGAATATTTAACAACAAAATCCATGCATTATTTCTTCAACTAAATTTGCAAAGGAAGTCGACATTGTTTCATTTAGCACTTCATCATGTTGACTTGATGCAAATCTTATATTTTGAAAGAACATGGCGGATCTTTTTCGACAAATCGATTTTTAAAATTAAAATCCTGGATTTGCAACTGGATATTATTACATGTACTAATGGTTACAGTGAAGAGAACATTGATGCTGACAAATATTAAAGAAAGATTGTTGGATTTATCAATACACGTACAACTGTTCCACAAAGTAGACTGAACTGTATGCGCCAAGTTTGAATGACATTTTCTACAGTGTGGATTTGAACTGAATGCGTCAAGTTACGAGTAATTTGGAAAAATAGTTTTTTCTTACAAGTGGACGAGAAATGAATGTTTAAAGTTTTGTATATTAATTGTTGAAATTCTGATGATCTATCTTCGGTGAATGGATCTTGGTCCCGTGACTATGATATCTATAATGAAGGGAGGGAGTTAATTGTATACATACATTTTTTTCCTTAATTTTCAAAGATATATATATATATTTATGAGAATTTATAAATAAATCTTGAAGATGGGTATTCCCCTTTTCTTCTCCATTTCCTTCAACCCCTTAATTCTATATTCAAATAATTAGAGGCTTGATTGAAAATTGTTATCAACACTGAAAAAAAATCATCTTCATAAGAATTCGTGTGCTAAATATTGTTTTCAAAAGCCAATCTATTAATTTGATAAGGTTTTTCTTCCACATATCATTTCTTTATCTTAAAATTCAATTGGTCAATTATATTTCAAGGCAAAAACCAGTCCCGGACTGCAGCTCTATTGCCTTTGCAGAAATGGGGCTTCTGAAGATTAAATCGGTAGATATATTTTTACTTCATGATACATGTATCTTTAAAATGACAATACGATTGGACAAATCGTTGAAGAAACTTTAATCTGAAAAAGAGTTTATATAATTAGTTTTTAAAAAAAAAATTAAAGAGAAAATGAATTTTATATGAGGAATTAGAAAAAGAAACGTAAAAACCAGAGAAGATTTTGTGAAATGAAACACTTCTTCTTTGTACTCATAGGTATTCTACAGGGTCTTGCAATTTGCATTGGTAATAATAGCGCTCGTAGTGCAAGGTGAGTATTTTTAATTTATTTTTACAAATGGAAAAAATGCGATATTAAAAATGATAATTCTGCATATTCCTGGGAAAAAAAAAGAATTGTAATGTAATATATTATTTTTCCACTTTGCATCGTCTTTCATTTTCGCAGCAATTCTTTGCAAAAACAAATTCTGAATTCATTGAAATAAATAATTTAGAACATCGAGTCTCTGCGATCACCTGTACCTCGGGTTGGACAAAATATGGCGAAAATTGTTATCGACTCTACACGACACGGCGGCCCTGGATGGACGCCCTGAAAGCTTGTCAGACGGTTTCAAGCAGCTTGGTGGATATCGGATCTGATGGCGAACAAAATTTCGCTCACAGTGAGATTTCTTTTATGTCAGAGTATAATATGATTTGATGGTTTTGAAATGAAAGTTGTCGAATTTTCCATGCACAAAAAGGAAACAATTTTAAAAAGACATCTATTTTAAATGTACCTATGTTTTATAATGTATATGGTATGTAATGTAAATTTATACCTCCTTACTTGCAGACCTTGCGAGAGGAAATGAGTTCTGGATCAGTGGGTCAGATTCGTCTACGGAGGGTCAGTGGCTCTGGTACGGCAGTCTCCAGTCCTGGGGGTACACAAAATGGAATTCCGGTAAGTATTTTTAAAATAACCAATCAACCAGCTGTCTACATTTCGTAAAAAGACATGCAGATGAAATGCCCTGGGAGGGAGGGAGAACTCTAAGATATTGCAGAAAAAAAGCAAGAGGATTCGTTGAATTTCTAAATATGTTATTCTGGCGAATTAAGAGCCCCCCCCCCCCCGCCTTTGTGACTAAAAATATACATATTAAGATTAAAAAAATAAAATTTTTGTTGTTAGATATTTCATTTATCATTGGTCCCTCAGACCCTTAACCTCCCCCCCCCCTTTTCAAGAATCCTGGATCCGCCACTGTGTTATTACTTTTAATATGTACATTTTATAAATCTGAAATCTATGAGGATTTTTCAGGAATGTTTACTACTCTTTAATGACAGGCGAACCAAACAACGCTGGTGGTGAAGATTGCGCCAGTCTTTTAACAAGCGGGAGATGGAATGATTACCCATGTAGTCGTAGCATGGCGTACATCTGTGAACAAACAAGTAAGGAATATTCGATAGACTAATATCATCCGAGATTTCTCGACTCTTTGTCCCCCGCTTTCGCTGAAAGCGGATAGGTCTGCCTGTTCCTCTATCATTGTTTGTGTTTAACAGTTTACTTTCGTCGCCCGCGTGGCACATTGGTTAGAGCGTCTGCTCTAGAGTCGCGAAGTAAGGAGTTGATCCTTACGTCGCGGGTTCGAATCCCACCGTGGGACGTGAAGACCGGTCCTTCGGATGAGACCGTATAAACCGAGGTCCCGTGTCGCAGAAGGTGCTGGCACGAAAAAGATCCCTCACTGCTCAATGGCCGTAAGTGCCGAGTATAGGTCAAAATTTGTAGCTCTCCACCCACAAGTGGGGCGTCTCCATTTGAGTGAAAAATTATCGAGAGGGACGTTAAACAACATACAAACAAACAGTTTATTTTCTGGTCATTGTCTTAAAAAATCCTCTGATTTTGCTATCAAAGTTTACGTCATAACTTCAATTCTTTTTGTGTTTTTTCAATGACATTTTTATACTAGTATTATGTCATATGACTTAAAGGAAACTCCCGTTAATTTTGAGGGCAAGAGGTAAAAGGTCAATAACAAAAAAGTCATACATAACATAAAAAAATATATTTATATATAACACGTTTATTATGAAATCCTTACCCACAGCTGCACTGAGAGCATGTGATTCCACCTGGAGTTTCAGGAACGGTAAATGTTACAAGTTGTTCACATCTAAGGTCACGTGGTCAAATGCTCTGAAGACTTGCCAGGCCAACTCAGCTAACCTGGTAAATGTCCAAGATTCCGGCGAAAATTCCTATGTGTATGGTAAGTGCGGTGTCATGTGGTAAATTTTAATTTACTAGGTTGAGGTATTGCATTTACCCTCACCTAGTAAATTCAAAATTTACAACATGATAACGGTATTCTGTTTGTTTAAACAGTGAGGTTTTTATTCGCCAGAAAAACGATCAAAAATATTCGTACATAAAAGTCATATAAAATCGATTTATTAATGGCGATTATTCAATGATTATATATGTCCAATTTTATCGAATGCCATCTAGCTGATTTAAGTACTATATCATGGTTGATCTAGCTTAAAACTTACTTTCTCAAGAAAATACTCCTTCATTTTGCCTTTGCTCTGCTTGATAGGATTAACAAGAGGAAATCATATTTGGATGGGGGGCTTCGATGGACCAAAGGAGGGATCGTGGGCGTGGACTGGGGGTACATTCTCCTGGAGTTACACTAACTGGAATTCAGGTTAAAATTATAAAATTGTAATGTGAAATTTAATTTGTGTTTTGCCAGTTAACTACATGTATTTGATATTTTCTTCCATTGAATGGAAAAAATGAGGTCATTTAAACTTTTTTTGTCCTTATTCTTGACTGCCCTTACCATACTTGAATTTACTTTAATCGTATAAAATGTACTGTCAAAAAAGAACATGGAATATATAAAGTTATCAGTTTGGCATTTAATTTTAAAATAAACAGGTAATATTAAAATTACATATGGGCATTGCGTTATTAGTAATATTTGCGGATTGCAAGTTTTGATAATGTTAACGTTCAGATTAATAAAATCTTGTTTCACTATCTTGGTCTGTAAATCTTTTACTGTATCGATAGATGGATAATGTTATTTCAGTCAAGTACATTTACAAGATTAGTAAAATTCAAGAACAGGCCGATAAATGTCAACAGAATAGAAATTAAAGAGTGGTCCATTTCTGCCGGAGAGGTTTTTACGACATATTTTCTTTACAGGCGAGCCGAATAACTCTGGGGACGAAGATTGCGCAATGATGTATGGCAATAGTGGGAGATGGAACGATGGCAGATGTAGTGGAACATTGGCATTCATGTGCAAAAAGAACAGTGAGTACAATTAAAACCTTTTAAAGAATATAAGAACATGTGTTACATGTACAATGTATCTTGTGAGTGAGAAACTGATTGGACCTTTTCTCCAAATAGTTAAGACTCATGGATCTTGCTAAAAAAACGCCTATACATGTAGTAGAAACTGAAAGAAGCTACAGAATATTTCATTTTTATAATGATTGCCGTGTTGTTTAAAGATGACTATTGTTTTTGCTTGAACTTTTGCCAGAATCTCCTTTACATACCAACAGTGAATCTCTGGATGGCAAAAAACTCTGTATCCGATGATAAAACTATCACGATTTTTTTTTTCGGCTCTTACTATGTTAACACTTGTTCAGATGCTAAGTATACAATAAAGCTACGTCACTGTCAGTTCGATGTGACATGCGTGTAAATACATGTGTACGTGAACACCTTGTAAATGTCCTTACTGTTGACAAAATTGATATACATGTAATAAGGAATAGATATCAGAAGTAAAATGTTCAATAATTCTTTCCACAGCGCCCCCAATCAATGGAGCATGGTCTGGATTTGGGTCATACGGCTCTTGTTCTAGAACTTGCGGAGGTGGAACTAAGACAAGATCGAGGTCGTGTAATAACCCACCTCCTCAGTGGGGAGGAGATAATTGTCCTGGATCCGCCACCCAGTCTGCGTCTTGCAACACCCACAGCTGTCCAAGTAAGTCTTTAAGTATCATAATTATGTTTCTTGATTTTCTTAATCAGTTTATCCCGACAAAAATGATCGAAAAAAAGAGTTCTATTGACCAAATCTTAATTTCAGAGAAGATATGATTACATGTAGGTCCCTCGTAAGTTGTATTTTTTTTTTCCATCGTGATTAGTTTTGTTCAGTAATAGATTCTATTCTATAAATAAACACCTTAATAACTGTGGTCAAAAGTCTGCAAATTAAAATTGCACAGAATAGTAATATATTGAATTCAAATTTTGCCCACAATTTTAGTGTCAGTATCATTTTGCCAAAAAGTCAGGACTGTACATGTATCAGCAGTAATTGCCAACAAATCATATTCTTCAATTTTCCTTGGTACATGTACCATGTCATCTCCAAGGCTTGCTGGAAATTTTTCTAATCCTGGCAAGCTGACTCTGGGTTGGGGTCATCAGTGGCCTGGTCATTAAAGGGGAGGAATTTGGTGGTGAAGTGAATTCCCTAGCTAAATTTTTGGGACCCGTGTTTGAAACGTGCTCAAGTCTAGTCATTAATTTTGTTTTCTCAATTCCTGTTACACTTGGCGATACCTTCAAAGATCTTGATGATGCATATCTTTCTAAGAAACTTTAAAACGGAAGATAGCTTAGAGTGAATGAAATATTATTTCCGGTCTTTAGTTAATGGAAATTGGGCATCTTGGGGTGGATGGGGAAGTTGTTCACGAACTTGTGGAGGAGGATCAAGGTCAAGGTCACGTTCATGCTCCAATCCCGCCCCTAATTACGGAGGATCTTATTGCTCAGGAGGGTCGTCTGCTTCAACAGGATCACAGAGTTGTAACACTCATAACTGCCCGAGTAAGTGCATTCTTATATAATGGATGTATTTTGTTTAATAACGTTTTATTTCAAGGATGTTTATTTTTGGCCATTAAGGCTGATAAGTGAAAAAAACAAAACAAAACTTGATTTGCCAATCATCAACAAAATACCTCCATTTTTAAGTCGATGGTGGCTGGGCAAGTTGGACCTCTTGGGGTAGCTGCACTGTTTCTTGTGGCGGAGGAACTCAAAGGAAAACACGCACGTGTACCAATCCCAGACCTGCTTATTCAGGGAAAAACTGTCCAAACTCTGCATCAGCAACTCAGAGCTGTAACACCCATCACTGTCCGAGTAAGGCGGTTTTCTGTGTTTTTTTCAGTGATCATTTAAAAGTTAGTAAGATTGAATATATTCATGAGAAAGCAGTCGTATGTAAATAATTTTGGTCTAAACATTATGGAAGCGTTTAAATTATACATGTAATTACATTGTTAGAAGTCTTTAGTTTCTCTATTCGATTTTGCATGCCTATGAAGTTTTGGGGGTTTGGTACAATTATGTTCAATAAATATGTTTGTGATGCCTAGCAAAATTAGTTTGGAAGTGGAGGTTGAATTTCCTTCAAGAAGTTTCAGTTTTAATGACGGCTAGCATTCGCATTTATAATCTATAAACCCCCGCCCCCTCTTCCCCCAAGGCCTTTGTTGAACGTCTCGCATATTAATACATGTATACTATTTACCATCTAATGATCTTTCGGCAAAGCTCATAGACAAAGGTCGCAAACAACTGTCATCCGGCTCGTAAACTTGAGAAAATCAGAATGCCAACACCCTGCCTCATCTGGATTTGTTAACGAAATCAAATAATATTTTGCCTTTGAGAATGTTGCCTTATTCCTTTTAAGCATGAATGGCATGTTGGATAAAAAAAATATTTCTTTCATGAGTTAACTGAACTTAACTCGGTCTCTTATTTGCTTGACTCTGCCTTGGATTCGGTTTGGTTGACACAAAGTGCAATAAATTGTTCTGAATTGATATAATTTTTTATATCTATTTTAGTTAATGGTGGTTGGGCCAGCTGGGGTAGTTATGGCTCCTGCACAGTGACTTGTGGTGGAGGAACAAAGCAGAGGTCGCGCACGTGCACCAATCCCGCCCCTCAGTATAACGGAGCTCAGTGTCCCGGAAGTAGCGTGTCGTCTGCTTCTTGCAATACACATCACTGCCCAAGTAAGAAGTTTCTCAGATTGTCGTAAAACAAATTGATCTTCTCGTGACAAGAAGTTTCAATATCGGAATTTAAAGCAAAAATAATAATTTTCAAACAAACGTAACATCTTCCTAATAAATTTATATCAGTTGATGGAGGTTGGTCCTCTTGGGGCTCCTGGGCATCATGTACTGTGACCTGTGGCGGAGGAATACAATCCAGATCACGCAGCTGTAGTAATCCTACGCCACAGTATGGAGGAGCATACTGTCCAAACTTCTCATCTGGAACCCGAACGTGCAACACCCATAATTGTCCAAGTAAGTGGTGCAATTATGTCCTTTTTGTCAATAGTTAAATAAATGCATAAAATGAGATGACATGTATGAAGTAAATAAGAATTTATCTATTCGGAAATATTTATAACCATTTACATAAATTATGTATATAAAGTGTCAAAGCCTTAAGCAAAATTCGATTAACGTTTTAAGAAGCCACCTTTTGAAATAAAAAAAAGTACAGCAATGAAATACGTCATTGACGTATTTCAGACGTCATGTACAGTTCTTAACTAAAGCTAGATTTCATCACAATGCTGTTGATTACATTAGTAATTATTTGATAAAACTGTCGATAGTTGATGGTAAATGGGCAAGCTGGGGTTCGTGGGGCACGTGCACAGTAACCTGTGGTGGCGGAACACAACAAAGATCACGGACCTGCACAAACCCCGCACCTCAGTATAATGGCGCTGCCTGCCCCGGAAGTAGTACATCATCACAATCCTGCAATACTCAACACTGCCCAAGTAAGTTAATGCAATCAAGTAATCTAAAAACATTGGGCATTATTTCATATCATTGTGTATCGAGAGAAAAGTCAAGAAAATCATTCGTAAATTAAATGTACAAAATCAATGTGCATCATTTGATAAACATTTTGCAAAGCAATACTGTAACATGTTTCAATGCATTTGTGTCAAAAGTCGATGGAAGATGGTCGGGATGGGGTTCGTATGGCACATGCTCAGTCACATGTGGTGGTGGAACTCAATCTCGATCCCGATCCTGTACAAGCCCAGCTCCTCAATATGGCGGCGCTTCATGTCCTGGGTCAGGTTCCAGTTCTCGAGACTGCAATACTCAAGTCTGCATAAGTAAGTAAGACACGAGTGAGTAAAGATAAGTTTATTCCAATTTTGGCCCAGAGGGCATAACATCAAAGACAGTTTATAAAGAAAGTTAAAAAAAGATTCACAAAATAACTACAAACTACATGTTCATGTAGCAAATTTGGAAATGAGTACATATGATTTGCAAATATGGTCTTTACCAAAAGTATATGGTCTATTGTGACCTACCTCCTTTTTCTGACATTACTGGAGAGCTATAGTGTACACACTATCCGTATGCCATTTTGATGTTTTGATTTGCTTCTAATAGCATATTTTTACTATCCCTACGAATAAAAGAGATTATATTTAAAAATTTATTTGTGAGACTAGGAATCTGAGCTATATTTGACCTTTGTTACTTGTTGGTAGTACATTTTAACAAGTAAAATGCATAGTTTACACTCGGTACATGTATTTCTTCATTTAACAAATTTGACAAAAAGATTTTTTTGAATGAAGTCAAAAAAGTTTACTTTTTTCCCTTTTAGTCGATGGGGCGTGGGGAGCATGGGGTAGTTGGGGATCATGCTCAAAAACTTGTGCCGGCGGTAAAAAGTCTCGAACACGACGCTGCGACAATCCAGCACCGGCTAATGGCGGATTAGACTGCTCCGGGGGGTCGGCTGATTTCAGTGACTGTAACTCTGCCGCCTGTCCAACTGTGGCCGCAGGACAGTATCAACAGGTATAATTAACTAATCAACTAATTAGTGTCAAATTTGATTATTGAACTGAGACAAGTATACCATATTTGAAAACATAAACTTTTTTAAAATCCGCTGCATTATTTTGATTAATATTTAATTGAAACGCAGTATCCATGATTTCCAAAACGTACATTAATACTTTTTTTTGTTCTTTTATGATTTAATGTAAATTTGATGGTTTTGTTTACATCTACATAGCTTTGTCCGACTGGGTGGTTCACGTGTCAATCTGGAGGTATCACGTGCATCGATGCAGCATTCCAGTGCGACTGCTCTTCGGACTGCGATGATGGTAGCGACGAGTCGGCGACATATGCTAGCTGCACCAATGCAGAGGAATGCGCAGAAGGAGGAGCAGGTGAGGGCTATGAAGATGACGTCATAATGTGATCAGTATAAATTATGATGATGTCATATATCACATGGCTTTGAGGGTGACATACCAGAATGTTTGCCCCAAGGTGACAGTAAAGTCCTGGAGTGTTATGTCACCCGATGCCGAAGACAGAGGGGCAAACATTCTGGTATAGTCACCCGAAAAGTCATGTGGTATATGTTATATAACATTTTTGAATTAAAAAATGGTCTAGAATTGTTTAAGTTTAGGCAAATCATCCAAAAATTATTTCATGACGTTAGGAATTGCGCTCCGTTGTTTACGTTTACTTAGCAACCGACGTCATTAAATCTCGAACCCGAGCTACAAATGCGTAACATAAAGACACGTGAAAGTGATCGAGAGGGTGTTATAACTGTTTCCGTCGGGTGATATAACTGTTTGCGGGCGTGTGACATAACTGTTTCCGGTGTGATTCAGCATTCTTCAGGGTTTATAGTGAAACTTATTACATTTGTGATATAATAGGAAAACTCATTCAAAAATGTTGTATAAGGATCTAAATGATAATGCGTCATCTTCATGATATCATCAAAAGATAAATGATGAAAAATTAATATACGATTTTAATAACTACCTTAAGATTATGAAACATTAATAAGGATAATAAGCTTGATAAACCGTTTTTGATAAATGATAATTTTAGAGATTTTGGTCAGTTTTTTTTAATTTGTTTTGTTGATTAAGTGATAAATGATGTGCAAGTATTTTAAAATTGACGATGATGACTTTTTTGTCTTTTAGGTCAATTTGGAATTTCTGTACCACTTATACTCGGAACTTTCCTGTGCAGTATCGTTGCTTTATTTAGATATCCCTAGCCAATAAAACACTGGCTTTATTTACAATTACTTTCTTGAAAATCATTATTGATTTTACCATATTCACGCCATTACATAACTAGTAGAGAACGCTGCCGCCTCCTCTTACAATATCTACATAGCATAAATTTATAAGAAGAATATAAAAATGTACATTAAAATGAATATTGTGCAATGTCAGGATACATGATTGCCTTTGATGTTTTCAATACCTTCCAAAAATTTGACAATGTACATGTGACCTTAAGAAAATAAAGGTTTTAATTAATAATGAAAAGTTCAAAGTTGATTCATTTCATTTGTTTTGAACCAAACTTACATTTTTTTATTCACTTGTATTTCAATATATGTTTAAATGTTTGTAAGAATCTATATATAACATTTTTATTATTTGCTTTTATCTTGTTAAATACTGTTATATTATATATTTGTTTATTAATACATGTACTGTGTGCTTACTAACCTATGACAGAAATTTTATTTGTGTAAAATAAAATTGCCATGTTTTCCGATACAGAAAACTTTATTTTTCCTTAAGATACATGTGTCTGATAAATTTCAGTTTCTTCCTTCATGTCCTTTGCTTAAATAACATCCGTAAATGATCAAATACTATACATAAAGATTTGGAAGAAAAATATTAACTAGGTTACATGTATCTCTCTCTCTCTAGGTGTGTTTGTGTGAAGGAAGAGGGGGGAGGGGTAGAATCACTGCTGGAAACTTTTTGCCAAGTGTATTTATGAATAAATTTAGGTTAAGCATAATTAACTTCAGGAGAACTTTTAAGTCGCATTCTATATTGCTACATGTACGATAGTTTTCATAAACAGTATAGGAAACGCCATCCAGGTAACGTATCAGAGTATGTCTACAATTAAACGTTTGAAATTTTTTTTTTATTTGCTTGTTGCTTAAAAGTTATAAAAGTAATGTGGAACTCAATGATCACAGATATTTTTGGGAGAAAACATTAAATTCCCTGTGATCGACTTTTCACCTGCTTCGTTGACCTTGACAACCACCCCCTACCGTGTTAGTCATTGCTCAATGACGTCAAACATTTCATTGTTAAAGCAGCCAGTTGTGGTGAAACGTTACAGGAGAAACCTCCCCCCCCCCGTAATATATGTAGTCCACGGGAGTCGGCAGTTTTATCCATAACGCAACGTAAACAACAACCAGTGAGCTTCGCGAGCGTAGCGAGCGAATTCAGCGACAGGAATGCAACGCGTTTTTGGTGAAGTCTGCTCTGATGCTTTATTTAATAAAACTAACAACAACACGCGGTATAATTTATGTCAGTCGATGTTTGAGTTTCTAACCTGATTTATGGTCCGACTAAACTCGCAATTGCCGTACTAGACGCTTAAATCGTTAAAACGTTAACGACATCTTGAAAAGAATTAGTCGCCATGAGGGTCTGCGTGACATCACACCATTCCCATTCCTGTCGCTCCGCTCGCGAAGCTCATTGGTTGTTGTTCAAATTATTTTAAGGATAAAACTGTCAACTCCTACGCGTAATCAAAGACGCGCACAATGAGTTGATGTGGTTTCACAACATTTTCGCCTTTCAGGTCCACAGGAAGCAATTCCACTTTTGGGAGGGGATACAACCAAATCTTTTCATTTTGGGTTGGCACTACCAAATAAAGGTCATCAGACCACAGGCACTTGTTTCGTTTACGAGGCACCCCTACTTATTTTTACCACAAGGTTTCTAACTTGCAGGCACCCCCCCCCCCCTTCAAGCTCGTATTTTGTTAATATATCAATCACTTTAAAACACCTACTTTAAAATGACATCGTTCCCTTGGAGAGACTTTTATCTTGTCAAATAAATCGTTTCAGACGTCTCTGGTCGACTTCTTTATTGTAAACCACTCATTTATTCCTTGAAAATTACCTCGATACATATTAAGACTTTAGATGGGATACAAACTTCCGGTTGGGGTTATAAATGAAGGATAAAACCAGAGTCCTCGGAATGGAATACTCGGAAATCTCTGTTTTATCCTACCCTCATGTACACTGTACATGTACAGACTTATTATATCTAGTCGACGTATGATCGAGTAAAAATGCATATATTGTTTATTGAAAAAAGGTTTTATTCATGGTTTTTTTCCACTTATAATACTTTGATTGAGAGTGATCTCCCGTGTAGAATTCTCTACCCAGTGAACACCAATAAAGCGTATATTACAGAGATAAACAAAAGCACGTGTACTTCTTTCAATGGGTAGAATCAACTCTACAGCAAGAAAGAAAAGCACCGGTGGCTTTGTTGGAAATTGTATTCAAGGGATAGACACTCAACAGATCATTTTTTACCGTAGCTATCATGGCCATAGGAACCGGGGGGCACGGGAGGGGGGCGTGCCCCCCCCCCCCCCAATAAATTTGCCGATATATAGAGTACTATAGAAAACATAGAAATTATATATGCTTGTGCCCCCTCAATAAAAACGTCTGATGACCTTTTTCTTCCTTGTCAAGGAATTTTTGGTGGTTGATAGTGCCTCCTCAACTGAAAATGTATGGCTGTGCCTCCCTCCCCCCAAACTGATATTGCTTCCTACAGGTCTGGTAATGTTAGGAAAGGCAAAGATGTGACAAATGCTGAGAAAAGTTTCTAGGTCTTGTGAAGGAGGCGCTATACGAATCAACAATAAAGAACGGTGTTGGTTTATCTGTGTCTTGTTTCTATATTTGCATTTTCAGCCAAAATATCTAGATGTCATAGGAAGTGTGGATACAATAATGTATATAATGCATAAACTTTATTAAATAAATGAGTTTTGGAGAAATCTGACGGTGAAAAATTGTGTAAGTCCATTTTATTAACATTTACATAGGAATTGCATTGAGAATTGTTGATTTGACAAAATCTAAAAATGAAGGGTGGCTTGGTGGGTTAAATGTACCAGAATTTTAATATGTTTAGTACCAATATTACGTCTACTCAAGAGGTCTTGAAAGATTCTATAAGAAAGCCAGAAACCTTGCCAATGTCCTGAAGCGTCAAACACAGCTCTGCTGCTGGTTCGCGTAACGATACCTTTAAACCTATTACTAAGCTTACGATCGTTAGGTAATTAAGGTTCAAAAATCATTGTAAGTTATGGGTCAATCTAAATGCTACTGCTGTAGCTGATTTGAAGATCATCTCATTTTTATTACATTGGTTACATGGGTGTGGCTTTGTTTACAAGCGGTTGCAAAATTCTGGATATTTTTGTAAGCATAATATTATGCTTCTTACATAAATTAAACTCACGATGCTCATCAATAGAAAAGTTATAAACCAAACTAGTCCTGGCAAGAAAAATCGTTTTGTCTAGAAATCGATATATCATGAAAAAGTTCTGTTGACGGAGGATGATAATATCAAATAGTAAAGGAAAATTCAAAATTCATCCTATGTGTATTTTTTTCTATTTATTTATTTATTTTTGTATGGAAATTAGTACATCCTATGCAAACATGTAATTCTTGCAAATTTCTTTTACGTAGATATCCATTTTTCGTTGTACAGAAATCTTTTTCTGAACATTATTTCACGACTATTTGACCTACCCTCATTTTTCGACCTAAATCAGACAAGGCATATTATCTTGTAATCTGCTTGAACCCGGTCAAGAATATTTTGAGAAGTTTAGAATATTTGAAAGTTTAAATCCTCCCCAGGACATTCTCCTTACAGTAATACATTTATTTTGTGCT